TCTCTCTCTCTCTCTCTCTCTCTCTCTCTCTCTCTCTCTCTCTCTCTGTCGTTTTCATCTGCGAGCCTTAAATGCGATTCTACGGAGCGTCATATGTTTCATCGCGCAACGACGACAACGACTACAGACAGAGACGACAACGAAATGGATTAAATTAAACGCGTTTAAACGTCGCCGAGCGACGCCTAATGAGAGAACCTTTTCACTCGTTCACAGTTCCCTGTCAGAACGGCGGTACCTGCCTGGACGGCATCGGCGACTACACCTGCTTATGCGTGGACGGCTTCAACGGGAAGCACTGCGAGATCGACGTCGATGAATGCTTGTCGCAGCCCTGCCAAAACGGAGCGATCTGCAAGGAATACGTCAACTCCTACACCTGCCAATGTCAGCTCGGCTTTTCCGGCATCAACTGTCAGACCAACGACGAGGACTGCACCGATAGTAGCTGTATGAATGCAGGCAAGTGCATCGACGGTATCAACAACTACACCTGCGTCTGCTTACCCGGTTACACCGGTTCCAACTGTCAGTACCGTATCAACGAGTGCGACAGCTCGCCTTGCTTGAACGGCGCTACCTGCCATGATCATGTGCAATATTACACGTGTCATTGTCCATACGGCTACACGGGCAAGCGATGCGACAAGTACGTGGACTGGTGCGCCGACAATCCGTGCGAGAATCAGGCTACGTGCGTACAGCACAAGAACAAGTACCAATGTAACTGCTCGCCCGGCTGGACTGGCAAGGTATGCGACGTGGAGATGGTCTCATGCAAGGACGCCGCTATACGGAAAGGCGTGCCGGAGAAGAATCTTTGCAACAACGGCACCTGCGAAGACATTGGCAATAGTCACCGTTGCCACTGTATCGAGGGTTATACCGGCTCATACTGCCAAGAGGAGATCGACGAATGCGATTCGGCGCCGTGTCAGAACGGCGCGACTTGCCGGGACCTCGTCGGCTCGTATCAGTGTCAGTGCACGATAGGCTTTCAAGGACAGAACTGTGAGCTCAACGTCGACGATTGTACACCGAATCCATGTCAAAACGGCGGCACTTGTCATGACATGGTCATGAATTTCAGCTGCTCTTGCCCACCGGGCACTCTCGGCTTCATATGCGAGATCAACGTCGACGACTGCGTGGTTGGCGCATGCCACAACAACGGCAGCTGCACCGACAAGGTCGGCGGCTTCGAATGCAATTGTCCACCTGGGTTCGTCGGGCCCAGATGCGAAGGCGACATCAATGAGTGCCTTTCAAATCCGTGCGCGTTAACTGGTACCCAAGATTGCGTGCAATTGGTTAATAACTATCACTGTAATTGTAAACCTGGTTATATGGGTCGCCATTGTGAAGTGAAAGTGAACTTTTGTGACAGTTCGCCGTGTCAAAATGGTGGCATATGTACTGCTAAGCAGGCGGGTCACACATGTGTGTGCCCGCCTGATTTCCACGGCAGTAACTGCGAATTCGCCGGCTCGTACTGCGACTCCGAGCCGTGCTCGCACGGCGGCACATGTCGCATTACCGACACTATGATGGGTTACGTGTGCTATTGTCCACCTGGCACCACCGGGACTCACTGCGAGATGGACGCACGGGACGAGTGCGCGAGTAACCCGTGCCAGCAGCCCGACGCCATCTGCGAGAACTTGGTTGGCGACTACGCCTGTTACTGTCCAGCCAAGTGGACAGGCAAGAATTGCGAGATCTACGATCCGAATTACCGTGGAGGCGTGTTCGGCAGGCCAAATGCGAACATGCCGAAGACCGCCAACGCATATGATCTAGATTTGGAGCGTGAGCGCAAGAAGTGCATCGAGAACCGTTGTGAGGAGAAATCCGGCAATCATCACTGTGATGAGGAGTGCAACAGATACGCCTGCAATTTCGACGGCAACGACTGCTCGTTGGGCATCAACCCGTGGCGCAACTGCACCGCGCCCATCAACTGTTGGGACGTGTTTATGAATGACGTATGCGACGAGGTCTGCAACAATGCTCAATGCCTCTTCGATGGCAGGGATTGCGAGAGGAAACTAGCTCCTTGCAAGTAAGTACTTATAATATATATTATAAAAATAATTAATAATATATATTATAAAGAATAATAATAATAATAAAGAATTATATAATAGGTTCTATTTGTTTACTCATTATGTCATTCACTTCCGTAGTCCGATCTACGACGCGTACTGCAGGAAGCATTACGCCAACGGCCATTGTGATTACGGTTGCAACAACGAAGAGTGTAACTGGGATGGCTTGGACTGCGACGGTGAACCTCCATCTTTAGCGGAAGGTGTCATATCAGTGGTGGTGAGGATGGACATGCCTACTTTCCGTTCCAATGTCGTGGCCTTCTTAAGGGACATCGGACATGAATTACGGACAACATTGCGCGTCAAGCAAGATGAGCTCGGCAACGATATGATATACCCGTGGAAACGGGAGAGAGAAGCCAGTCAGCACGCTAACATCTTCGGCCAACCTGCGACGATCTACACCAATCCGCAGAACGGTGTGATTGCTTACTTGGAGATCGACAATAGGAAGTGCACGGTAACGCAGGGTGCGGTGTGCTTCCCTTCGGCGAACGAAGCGGCCGAGTATCTAGCCGCAACCGCATCAAAACACTCCTTGTCGCGAAACTTCCCTATCGAACAAGTACGAGGCGTCGTGGGACCGCAAGGCCCCGAATACCCAGACAGTCCCACCAACTACAAATTCGTCTTTATCGGTGTGGTGATCGTGCTACTGAGCGGTCTTCTTGTGGGTGTGCTTGTCACCGCTCAGCGGAAACGCGCTGTAGGAGTCACATGGTTCCCCGAAGGCTTCTTGAGGACCAGCAGCGGTAGCGGGCAACGGCGTCGTTCACGTAGACGAGGGCCAGATGGCCAAGAGATGCGGAACCTGAACAAGCAACCATCGATCAATTGCATGGACATAGACGTGGGTAACGGTCGGGTGCAACACTGGTCGGACGACGAGTCTGATTTACCAGCGAAACGACCGCGGACTGCAATCAGCGATCATACCGCTATCACAGACTATGAAGAGACCGAACCGCGCAGATGGACACAGCAGCATCTGGACGCAGCCGAGATACCGCGACCAGACGCCGGGGTCCTCACCCCTCCTGATCAAGATGTGGACGCACGCGGCCCATGCGGCATGACGCCATTAATGGTGGCGGCTGTGCGCGGCGGCGGACTCGATACCGGCGAAGAGGAAGATGAGAGCGATGGCACAGCTGCGATGATCGCCGACTTGGTGGCTCAGGGCGCCGATCTGAATGCCACCACGGACAAGAGCGGTGAGACATCGTTGCACCTGGCCGCTCGTTTCGCCAGAGCCGACGCTGCCAAGAGATTATTGGACGCAGGTGCCGATGCAAACTCCCAGGACAACACTGGTAGAACGCCACTGCACTCCGCCGTCGCGGCTGACGCGATGGGAGTGTTTCAGATCTTGTTACGCAACAGAGCGACGAATTTGAACGCTCGCATGCACGACGGCACTACGCCGCTAATACTGGCAGCGCGTTTGGCCACAGAAGGCATGGTAGAGGATCTCATCAACGCCGACGCCGACATTAACGCTGCCGACAACAGCGGTAAGACCGCCCTACATTGGGCCGCGGCGGTTAACAACGTCGACGCCGTGAACATTTTGCTGGTGCACGGCGCGAACAGAGATGCACAAGACGACAAAGACGAAACCCCGCTGTTCCTTGCGGCACGCGAGGGCAGCTTCGAGGCGTGCAAAGCGCTCCTCGACACGTTTGCCAATAGGGAGATCACCGATCACATGGATCGGTTACCTCGCGACGTCGCCAGCGAGAGACTACATCACGACATCGTTAGATTGCTCGACGAGCACGTGCCGAGGTCGCCGCAGATGGTCACCGTTATTCCGAACGGTCCTCTCATGGGTAAGCGTTCTCACCATATTTTTCCAGGATTGAAAAAGTTACTTTGTAAAACAGGCTATATCCCGTTACTCATTTTGAAAAATAACTTGTTATCATTACTCAAGAAGTAACAAAACTTTTCAATTTCTGTTACTTCTTTCATATTTTGAAGATATTTTGTTTATTATTTTGTTAAATAGTAATTGAGAAAATAACGTGTATTGCTAATCTTCTTCGAATTAAGAAACGATTTATGAACGTTTTACTTTCCCCTCGGCAGGATCTCCAAATCATCCACAATTGATCACACATCCGACGGTAATTGGCTCGGCGCCGAAGCAAGCCAAGTCGAAGAAACGACCAAAAGCGGGCGGTACGGGAAACCCAAACAGCCCCGAGTCAGAGGGCGGCGCGGTGGTGATGGTGAGGCGAAAGCCATCGGTGAAGAAACCACCAGCCGCCAAACGTGGCGGTGCTCAACCCCCAAACCAAGAGATCCCTCATCAGGAAGCGGAGGGCGCCGAGGGTAACCTACCGAGCCCGTATGACAGCGCGAGCTTGTACAGCAACGCGTTGCCTTTGGTGGCTCACACAGCGACGGCGAAGCAACCACCGCCGTATGAAGACTGCATAAAGGGCCAGTCGATGCAGGGTCTACAGCAGCTCGGCTTAGACACTTTCGCAACCAACTACGGGCTGCCGTTTCACGACCAGCTCTTAGCACCTCATCAACGGCAGACGCAGGGTATGGTGAACACCCTGTCGCCGCCGTACAGTAACCAATCGCCGCCACACTCGGTGCAGTCGAACATGACACTGTCGCCGCAAGCGAGTTACATGGGTTCGCCGTCGCCGGCGAAGAGTCGGCCGTCGTTACCCACTTCGCCGACTCATATCGCCGCGATGCGACAAGCGACGCATCAGAAGCACGGCGGTATGCCGCCGGTGGGCTTCGACTTCGACAATCTGCCGTACTCGTCGAGTCAACAACAGCAGCAGCAGCAGCAACAACAGCAGCAGCAGATGCAGCAGACGCAACAGCAGATCCAACAGCAGCAGCAACAACAACAGCAGCAACAACAGCAACAGCAGAACACGCAGCAGCAGCAGCAACAGCAGCAGCAGCAGCAGCAACAGCAGACGCAGCAATACTACCAGTACTTGACGCCGCCGTCCCACCATTCCGGGCCGGACGTCACGCCGCAGCATCTCATGCAAGCACCCGAAAGCTTCCCGACGCCGTCGCCGGACAGCCCGGGTCACTGGTCTTCGAGCTCGCCGCGCTCGAACAGCGATTGGTCCGAGTGCATGGCCTCGCCGAACGCGTACGGCGCCGGCGGCGGCGCTCACCAAAGCAACAAGGGCTCGGAGGCGATCTACATATGAGGTTAGCGACGTTTTTCTTCTCCTCCTCCTCCTCTTCGCGCAGGTAAATGATAAACCGTGCGAGGACGGCGAAGGAGGAAAGAGAAAGAGGGAAACAAATGCAAGAAGTGGAGAAAAAAACGTAACGCGAACACTGTGATCAGCTCGTCGAGGGTTTGAGGGCGATTTTCCGCCGCCGTTCGTTTCCGCGGCCGGCGTAGAAGACGCCGAAGACGCGAGACGAACGAAAGAAAGGGCTCTTCCTTTAAATCAGATCGGCGGCGAGAAGGTATCTTGTTTGTTTGTTAGAGGAATTAACACGCCACGGCGTGTGTGTATGACGATGCACGAGCCGCGATTATTATACATATTTATATGCGTATAAATGTAGATGAACGAATATATACATGTGCATGCGTGTACAAGGGGGAGAATTCCAGGACCAGGGACGGACGCTGTGTAAGAAGCCATGTGCTCGGACTGTGTGAAAACCGATTGTGCCTCTCTAACGAACGCGGACGCGATTTTTTGTGAGGAGTGAATCGCGCGATTCGACGAAGAGAAAGGAAAGGAGGGAAGGAAAAAATAGCCGATATATTTTTGATATCGATCGATTTTTACTCTTTTTACCGTTGTCGCTATATACGTCACGCAGCTCAATGAATAAACGGTGCCTTCGACTTGCCAGTGTGAAGACCCCTCCCCCCCCCCCCCCCC